GCAGCAGATTTTGGAACACAATTTATAGGCTTAGTTTTCTGCCTCAGGATTCTGCCCTGAGGAGAAGGAATTTAAGAGACTGTAACAGCTCACATGGTTAATTCTGAAATCAACCTTGCTGCCATCTTGTTTAACTTTGTGATCTGGTCTTGGATTTTGACTTGGCTCCTAGTATGTGCCCATTTTCAGAACACTGGCTCTTGGGTGCCTGTCTTATTCTCTCATTTTAATCTCTAATTCTGTAACCTGTCTGGCTGGGAAGGCCTGACGTCTGAAGACAAGCAGTAGCTCACCTACGTGAGCTCATGTCCAGACTTAGTTGATGACCTGTGGCCAGGCCCTAAGTCACTTGCTGGAACTTGGCATGCTGCCTTTGGCAGGACGTCCCAAGTACTGATTGCCTACTCAGACAAAACTGACCTAGCATCTGTCACTGCATTTCATGGACTCCAACTCTCCCTGGCCCTCAGCTGATGGCCCGCTCTTGGCACTTGCAGGGCTATGCCTCCAGGTGTGTGACCCTCCTGTGGGCATTTAATCCATTCAGTTTTGATCAAAATTCTATGAAGTCTATTTCTATTCTACAAGTCTAATGTGAGTTTAGGGTCCATTCTCATTTCCCAACCCTTGATCTTATGTTGATAACTTTGTTCCAATAAAGAGGTCATATTGTTCAGTGATTTTTTTATTAGTATAATATGAACAGATTAGTAAATGGAATACAAGGAAAACAACATAAGGAGATGTAATATGATTGATAGAAGGTCTAATGGTGCTTTCTAAATGAAAATCTTATTTGATAAGTTTTATCTTTCCTTGTCATTGCCAAGATATCATATCAAATTATATTCTTTTGCCTTCCCAGTATAGTGCGATATGATTTAAAAAAAAACAAACAAACAAGTGTTCATTTCAAACTATGTGAGAACAGGCAAATACTAGATGTGTATCCTGCCAAATAAAGGAGATAATTAAGCACCTGATAGCATTCTTTCAACCGTATTATTAGATATATTTCTATAGTCAAGTTCTGGAGGTACGCTTCGGTATATTCGATAGATCTTTCAGAATTTTCTTCAGTGAGCCAGCAAGTTTTCAAAAACTATTAGTTTTGTTGATTATGTTTCAAAGGTGACATTCATAAATCAAAAATGGAGAGAGCTTCACCTTTCCAGCATAAAATTATATAAGCATCTAAACCAAGTTTAAAAGCAACAAGGACTGTGAATATAATCCACTTTTTTTTCCTTCAGTGCATGTTAGGAAGAAAACAGGCCCACATAGTCTAAGAAAAAGAAACTCATCTTTGTTGTATATTTACTCTTGGTCAGCCTCTGTGGGAAGCTCTGATTATTTAATTCTTACAAGAATTTTTTATGGCATATTATCATTATTATTCCCAGAGGTTTAGACAGACTGAGGGAAGTTAAATAATTTGTTCAGGATTATACAGCTACCAATTGGTAGTACCTGCATTCACACATATATTGGGCTCATATAAAAGTCAAACTCTTTATCCCAAACAGTTCCAAATTACTGGGATTCCTTAACTCTACTAATTTTTGTCTGGTAAAACTTTGGGTCTTATCTAATTTCCTAAGATACACAGTAGAGTAATTTTTTAGGCTTGTTAAGGACATGTGGTATCAAACAGGACCAGGAATTTCTCCTACAAAGCATTTCACAATAAATGCTATGAGGAAAGATTATAATGTTATCTCAATCTACAAGAAGATTGTTGAGATTCCTATTATTCTTTTGATGATGGAAAAGATATGATATGGTCATACAGAAGTGAATATTTATCCACCTACTTAGTCTTTTTTTGCATTTCATATGCTCTAATACCATACAAATAACTTAAGAATTTTTTTAAGAAATCCATATCTGCTTATAAGAAATTTTAGTGACTTTAATTTTCTATTTCAGTATCAAAAAAGACGCTATTCATGTAATGGAAAGACATTTGAGCTCTGTAGTTGAAACTTAACATTCCCGTTCCTCTTCAGTAAGAAGGAAAACATTAAAGATTTAGAATTACCAAGCTTCATTTTCTTTAAAACAAAAGTAATCAAAATAAATGGCATAATAAAACTATTATTAGAGGTGACAGGATGTATTGCAAATGTCAACGAGTATCTTTTCTCTAGTTTAGCAATTTTCAACCAACTTAGGCTAAAGCAGTAAAAGGAGCTTTGTGGATAAAATACACACTACAGGATGGAAATAGCCAAGATTCTCTTCCAGGTGGCTAGGAGCATGTTGCTCTCCTGCATAACATCACTCAGAATGAATGCCTCAAGAGGTGCAGCCATCTCTTTCTTTGTCAACAAAAGCTGCCCTACGAAAGGGAGATAGACTTTAAGGAGCATTCAATCCTCCTTCACTGGGTAGCTGAAAGTAATTTTAGAGGGTCTAAACTTCTTCATGACTACTTATTCATGACTTTGTAAAATTCTAGAAGACAGAGCAAGTTCAATCAAATCACCATTAGATGACAATTAACAGACGTTTATCAGTTATTCTCCCCTAATACAAATCATTTCACACATGGCATATGATATGAGAGAGGGTTTTTGTTTGTTTGTTTTGGTGTTTTCTTTGCAGGACTACCAAATAAGGACATTTTGAATTGCTGGAGCTAATCGAAAGTGCAAAGGAAAGACTTATTTTCTACTTTGTACTTTCTGAAAACAAGTTTAAAAAACAGAGTAGTGCACACTAAGGAGAAATCAAAAGCCCAATACTATCAAGTAGGTACATATAATTTCTCAGGGAGGGACTGACAAGCTGAACATGAAATGGTATTTGATAAGGATGATATCACAAGTGAAAACAAGCCATTCTCCATTAAAGAATTCCAAATTATTTAAAGACTTATTCACAGGAACACATTCTTTATGAGTATATATTAATTTACAGCTCTTCTAAATATCAGTAAGGTAGTCTGAAACTATTTTGACAATGATTCAGTCTGTTCAAACTCATGTCAGAAGTAAAAGAAAGATTTTTAAATTTATTTTTTCTTTTTAAGCATTAGAGAAAAATGTCCTCTACGTTAAAGTAATCAAGTCCATTGCTCTTAGAGATTTTGGGGGTAGACTTATCAAATCCACAAGGAAGACTCGCCTAGAACTTGTGGAATTAGATTACCTTTGAATTCTCACCCCAACTTTGAATAGTCACTAATTCCTTTCTTTGCTCTTTTGGTGTTTGCAAAGGGGTTCGCTAAAGCCTGAATTGATATAATTATTGGCTCAGATTGTTAGAGATCTAGGCCAGATGGCTATGGATTTCTAAAGTCCCTGTTGCTTGTGGTAGTTTCCCTAGTTTGCCTATAGGGTTTGGGGATCAGCAATTTGAAAGGTCTACAACCTTGTAAAACAGTATTATTCATGGGGGCAGAATGTTCATCAGCGTGACCCAGTGCTAAATACATTCATTATAGGCATTTCTATTCTGCACAATTTGCCACACAGCGCTGGTTTCTGGGGCGGGGGGGGGGGGGGGGGAAGACAATGGCTTATAAAATGCTTTTGAATGTCTAAAAAGAAGGAGAGTTCACGCTGAGACTACTCTGCTTTCTTTCTTGGAAGGAACCTTCTTTAGTGACTTTAGCTGAGCTCTGCTGAGAGTAAGCAAAGTGGAAAAATCAGAAAATTACCTTTTTTATATGTTTCCGGGGGGGGCAAAATAGAGAGTGGGAGAAAATAAATGGAAAATAGTGACAGTGAGATTATGTGAAACAGCAAATCTGCAAGTGGATGAAGACAGCTGAGGAATAATGCAAGAGGTACCAAAAAAAAAAAAAAAAAGGCAGCAATAGAGCCATGATGATAAACTTAAAAGGAATTGCAGAGCAGAAAGAACATCATAAATAATCATATTTTCAAATAAGAATACCATATCAGTTTCTGTGACCTGGATAGGGCACAAGCCTCCCATGATATTTCCTAGCATTTTGATGCACACAAAATGCAATTTTCAGCTCAGGCATTTTATTCTTCAATGTAAACAAGCTTTGGGTTCTTAAAATACATATCTGAAAAGTGCTTTCATAAATAATACATATGTTATAAAAATTTGACTTGTAAACTCTTGAGTCCATGTCCCCCCAGTATTCGTTGTGAAGACTCACCATGTATAGATAATACCTTTTGGTAGAAACTGGCACGCTAAAGCATGAAACATCTTTTACTCAAGGTAAACAGGATTTTTTGAAGGATAAGACAAAGAAATATCATAGCCAATTTTGCCCCAACTCAAAGAAAGAAGGGCTATATGGCAGAATTATATTGGTAATTAGTTTCACATCCTAAGGTGCTCCTTTAAATCTTGCTAATTAAGAGAAATCAAGAGTGGAAAATAGCCCTTTTCTTATCTTCAAAGAATAAAGATGAAAGAAAAGCAGAAAATGAAACCTCCTTACTTGTTCTGTTCTTTCAAACAGGGCTCCAAGAAAATCTGCTTGTGCTCACAGGAGAAAGACCCAAGTATTTACAGAGGGGGAGGGGAAGGAAGCGGTCTGAGAAGCATAATTAGAAGCAAGTTTTCAAATGTTATTAAATTCCTTCACCAACAAAATGCACTTAGAGGTGTTTTAAGTTAAACCAGTACTTAAAGACTATGAAAAGCAAGATGATTGCATGTTTGTGGAAGAAGAAAGGGCAATTAAGAAAACCAGAACAATTTAAAATGCCATATAAATAAAGGCGACCAGAAGTTGATTTAAAGTTTTTCTTCTGTAATTTGTCTCCCCTTTGTCGTGGCACGCTCAGGGAAAGTGAATGCTGTAGATTGAAAGGAGGGGGGGGAGGAGGGAGGAGGAAGGGAGGAGCAGGGAAGGAGCGGCTCCCAGCCTCCTCCCCCAGCCCCCCCCAGCCCTCCTCCCTGCTCTCCCCGCCGCGCCCCCAGCCCCCGCCTTCCTCCGAGCTGGTCTTTCTCCCTCTCCACCCTCCACTCTCGACCGCCCTCGCTTTGGGGACTCCATCAGCTTTTGATTTGGAAGGACGCTGATTGGCTGGAAGCGATTCAACACACGCCGGGCAAGAGAGCTTTGTCTGAGTTGAAGTGAAGTTGTACAGATTTTAGACTGGAGTCAGCAATCACGGGTGTGTTTAGTCTGCAGCCGAGCAGAGAAAGGGGAAAGAATCGCTCGAGAAAGATTCACTGCAGACTCTGCCAGCACCCTGCAATAGATGGATTCCGACTACACGAGGGGGGAGACGCGGAGGTGACACTCTTCTCTGCCTGCGGAGAGGACAGCCAAACAAATGCAAGGATCGGACTCGACGCCAATAATATCTGGAAGTCGTGACACGGTGTGTATAAAACAAAAGTTTGCGAGCTGTTAATTGCTGTGCTGTATTATTAAGAGACGCTTTCAAGTTTCAAGTACCAAATGTAGCTTAGCTTTAAGTTGCCAAAGGAAGTTGAGGGAATTGCTTTGCTGTTTTAACTTGGTCTGTGTGAGGAATCTCCTAAACTGACCGATGTGCCAAATGAATGCTAAAATGCACTTTAGATTTGTTTTTGCACTCCTGATGGTATCTTTCAGCTATGATGTACTGGGCAAGAATTTGAAATACAGGATTTATGAGGAGCAGAGGGTTGGATCCGTAATTGCAAGACTATCAGAGGATGTGGCTGATGTTTTAGTTAAGCTACCTAATCCTTCCACTGTTCGCTTTCGAGCCATGCAAAGGGGAAATTCTCCTCTCCTGGTAGTAAATGAGGATAACGGAGAAATCAGCATAGGGGCTAAAATCGACCGTGAACAACTATGCCAGAAAAACTTGAACTGTTCCATAGAGTTTGATGTGATCACTCTACCCACTGAGCATCTGCAGCTTTTCCATATTGAAGTCGAAGTGCTGGATATTAATGACAATTCTCCCCAGTTTTCAAGATCTGTCATACCTATTGAAATATCTGAGAGTGCAGCAGTTGGGACTCGCATCCCCCTGGACAGTGCATTTGATCCAGATGTTGGGGAAAATTCCCTCCACACCTACTCTCTCTCTGCCAATGATTTTTTTAATATTGAGGTTCGAACCAGGACCGATGGAGCCAAGTATGCAGAACTCATAGTGGTCAGAGAGCTGGATCGGGAGCTGAAGTCAAGCTATGAGCTTCAGCTCACTGCCTCAGACATGGGGGTGCCTCAGAGGTCTGGCTCATCCCTACTAAAAATAAGCATTTCCGACTCCAATGACAACAGCCCTGCTTTTGAGCAGCAGTCTTATATAATACAACTCTTAGAAAACTCCCCTGTTGGCACTTTGCTCCTTGATCTGAATGCCACTGATCCAGATGAGGGCGCTAATGGGAAAATTGTATATTCCTTCAGCAGTCATGTGTCTCCCAAAATTATAGAGACTTTTAAAATCGATTCAGAAAGAGGACATTTGACTCTTTTCAAGCAAGTGGATTATGAAATCACCAAATCCTATGAGATTGATGTTCAGGCTCAAGATTTGGGTCCAAATTCAATCCCAGCTCATTGCAAAATTATAATTAAGGTTGTGGATGTTAATGACAATAAGCCTGAAATTAACATAAACCTCATGTCCCCCGGAAAAGAAGAAATATCTTATATCTTTGAAGGGGATCCTATTGACACATTTGTTGCTTTGGTCAGGGTTCAGGACAAGGATTCTGGGCTGAATGGAGAAATAGTTTGTAAGCTTCATGGACATGGTCACTTTAAACTTCAGAAGACTTACGAAAACAATTATTTAATCTTGACGAATGCCACACTGGATAGAGAAAAGAGATCTGAATACAGTTTGACCGTAATCGCTGAGGACAAGGGGACACCCAGTCTTTCTACAGTAAAACATTTTACTGTTCAGATCAATGATATAAATGACAATCCACCCCACTTCCAGAGAAGTCGATATGAATTTGCAATCTCAGAGAATAACTCACCAGGGGCGTATATCACCACTGTTACAGCCACAGATCCCGATCTTGGAGAAAACGGCCAGGTTACATATACCATTTTGGAGAGTTTTATCTTGGGAAGTTCCATAACTACATATGTAACCATTGACCCATCTAATGGAGCCATCTATGCCCTCAGAATCTTTGATCATGAGGAAGTGAGTCAGATCACTTTTGTGGTTGAAGCGAGAGATGGAGGAAGTCCAAAGCAACTAGCAAGCAATACCACAGTTGTGCTCACCATCATTGATGAAAATGACAACGTCCCTGTGGTTATAGGGCCTGCACTGCGCAATAATACTGCAGAAATCTCCATACCCAAAGGGGCTGAAAGTGGCTTTCATGTCACGAGAATAAGGGCAATTGACAGAGACTCTGGCGTGAATGCTGAACTCAGTTGCTCCATCGTAGCAGGTAATGAGGAGAATATCTTTTTAATTGATCCACGATCATGTGACATCCATACCAATGTGAGCATGGAATCTGTTTCCTACACAGAATGGGAGCTCTCAGTCATCATCCAGGACAAAGGCAATCCTCAGCTTCATACCAAAGTCCTTCTGAAGTGTATGATCTTTGAATATGCAGAGTCAGTGACGAGTACAGCAATGACCTCAGTAAGCCAGGCATCTTTGGATGTCTCCATGATTATAATTATTTCCTTGGGAGCAATTTGTGCAGTGTTGTTGGTTATTATGGTGCTGTTTGCAACTAGGTGTAACCGAGAAAAGAAAGACACTAGATCCTACAACTGCAGGGTAGCAGAGTCCACGTACCAGCACCACCCCAAAAGGCCATCCAGGCAGATTCACAAAGGGGACATTACATTGGTACCGACCATGAATGGCACTCTGCCCATCAGATCTCATCACAGATCGTCTCCGTCTTCGTCTCCCACCTTGGAGAGAGGGCAGATGGGCAGCCGGCAGAGTCACCACAGTCACCAGTCCCTCAACAGTTTGGTGACGATCTCATCCAACCACGTGCCAGAGAGTTTCTCATTAGAACTCACCCATGCCACTCCTGCTGTTGAGGTAAGATCATACCCTGCACCAGTTCACTGAGCAAGTCAGCTGTGAGTGTTCAGCAGTGGTGTATGTGTTAGTTCTTAAATGTTTCCATTAAGAAGTAAACACGATTAACAATATTCAAATTAAATAGGATGCAAGTTGCCTTCCGTGTACGTAGCAAGTATTCATACCTTAGCAGGCTGTTTTGTTTTTCTTAAAGAATTTGCTTGCATGTATTATGTATAATATTGAAAAATAAATGTGAAGCTCCCAAAATGACTATCTAATTAGAATACCCTTACTTCCCAGATTGAGATACTGGAAGCCAAAAATAAAAGGACTTGTTTTATTCTCATAGTTGTGGTTCTTACCCCAAAAACAAAACAAAACAACAAAAAAACAAAACAAACAAATAACTGAGGCCTCCAGAATGCCATCTGAATGCATGTCACATTTGTTCAACTTTTGACATTTTCCTGACATAATTTTAGCTGCATGTGTTCAACTGTTGTAATTTACAACATTTTCCACACATCTTTATAACTGATCACTTTAATCTGAACTAAAAAATAAAGGAAATCAATCTGTTATTTATCAAGGAGTTCTCTTTCCAAAAGAAAAAGTCAGTGTATGAGATCATTCAAATCTCTCTGGGGTAGATTCAGTTATGTGTGGTGGCTGGCTGCGTAGTCTGCCACATTCCAGCATGTATAAATCTTTAAACCAGAGATAACATGTTCAATTAATTAGGATGAAATAGTGAGCAACTGTTTTTCCTTGCTTAAAGCTTGTGAGTATTTGGGGGTTTGTTTCCAGAAATCAGTTCTGTCTATTTGGTTTCCAGCAGGTTTCCCAGCTTCTTTCAATGCTTCACCAGGGGCAATATCAGCCAAGGCCAAGTTTTCGAGGAAACAAATATTCCAGGAGCTATAGGTATGAATTATCCTCCTGCTACCTATTGAGTCCCACTGACACAAATGCTGACGAGTAAAAACCACACTTTCTCTGATTCATCTTTCTAGATATGCCCTCCAAGACATGGACAAATTTAGCTTGAAAGACAGTGGCCGTGGTGACAGTGAAGCAGGAGACAGTGATTATGATTTGGGGCGAGATTCACCAATAGATAGGCTGCTGGGTGAAGGATTCAGTGACCTGTTTCTTACAGATGGAAGAATTCCAGCAGGTAAGAGAGTAGTGATAGATGGTAAATCCTTATTTTCAGATCTGCTCCACCAATGAAGTGAACAGTCTCTCCCATGCTTCGATTCTTCTTTGTCCTTTGCACGGAAGTTATCTGTCATCATTGCTATTAGCAATGAACATAACCTGGCACACTTCAGAATCATTTTCGTAGAATTCATATGAAGCAGGTGGTAGAGAAGGAGTAAGCAAAAGAGCCTAGCAGGACAAGAAAGGAGTGGGGAAAGGAGGGTAGAAAACCACACCACTTCTTTCCTCTTCCTGCCCCATCCACAGGACTGCCACAGGACACTCTTGAGCAACTCTTTATGAAATTACTGGGTGGTTGTTGTTATTCAAACAGCCTGTTTTGGTGCCTCGTGGTGAACTAGACTATAATTTGGAGGACGCAAATTTCCTGTGATGGGAACCAACTCAGAGAATCAGAGATTAAAATACACCAGAAAATGGTCCACTTCTATCACCAAAAATAGGACAAAGAATGCGTCTTTGTACGTGGTAAGCATAGGATATTTTTGCCACCTTTCATTTTCTATCTGCACTGTAGTGGAAAAGGAAAGGAGTTTAAGAGGGGAGTTTATAAGTACATAGCTACATGGAGGAGATCCTAGTAAGTTATGAGCCACATTTTCCTTAGAGTCCCCCGTCTCTAGTTGTGCAGTAGAAACTCTATGAACCAACTGGATAAATCCTGACTACATCACCGTAGCAACCCTGTTACTAGAGACTGTAATATTAAATCGACTCGGAGGAACACGTAATGTTGCTTTGGCTACTTACACGTAATGTTGCTTTGGCTACTTATGTTTCTAAATTCCAGGGAATGTTGATCCAATGACTGCCATTTGATAAATGAAAGAAAGGCAGAACAAAACTATGACCCGTTTGAGTTCCATCAAACATCCATTTTCTAAACATAGATAAGTAAGAGAGTTTAGGAAATAGTTGCGGGGCAGCTTCAGAGAGCCACGGAAATGCAGGTGAAAGCACTGCAAAGAAAGTTCTAGTAGTTGCCAATGGTAGTAACCAACAGGGTCCTGACACTTACCCAGGCCCCATGAGGACGTCGGTACCTGCATTCTGTCTCCTAACACTTCGACAGACATAGGAATTAGTAAGGGGTGGAAGTAAGGGTAGTGTTCTTGTTTTTTTGTTTTTGTTTTTGTTTTTGTTTAGGTTTGAAAACTGAAGCTTATAAAGGTTAAAAAACATGTCCCAAATCAGGCAGTTTATAGATGGTAGAGGTGGGATTTGAATCAATCCCCACACTCTTAAACACTAACCTAGTAAGAGTAATACGAAGCAACAGTTTTTTTTTTTTAAAGATAAGTTTAGTAATGTATTTGTTGTTACGTTCTTTAAGTCTCACTACCGTCTATGAAATGATTGAATGCTGCCTATTTCCTTATGATATGACAGTACTAGATACTGCATCTCTGGCAGGATGAACCTGTGGAAAGGACTTCTAGTAACATTGAGGGCTACAGTGTACACGAGAACCAATATTTGCACAGTAGTGTCTTTGTTTCTTTGTTTTATTCATAGACTCCCTATTTAAAGGAAGAAAATAAATCTCTGAAAATCTAGTGGGATATATACAGCCTCAGAAAACTTGCTCAAAGAGAGTCACTTTTATTATTTTTACCAATGAAATGAAAGAACCGTCTGGCTAAATTTCTATGATTCACTGATACTGATGGAACTCTAATTTGGAAGATTGGTCCCCAATTTTGGATAATGTGATTTCCTAAATAACATTATTTCATAAAACAGAAAAGTAGTATAATGGGCATAACAACAATATTATAATGTATAAGTTACTTTTTAAATTGTACAAAGTCTATTCATTGAAATTTTAATTCATTGGCATAGTTAAAGGGAAAAGAACTTTCCCTATTTAGATAACCCTTCCATTTGGGGGCCTAAATGATGCCTAAAATCCTTTTTAATTCTGAAATTGCATAATTGTAACAGCTAACCTGTTTTAGAAAAAGGCAAGACTTCTCTTTCACTCTTTCAAAGCTACCAAGACCAGATATGTTCATGGCAGAAGACTTATCAAATGATTGCTTTAGAAAATGCTAGTAAAGCCATTGAGGAAACAATGGGTAGATATAAAGTCTAGGTAATAGTGAGTCTTGCTTAGTGAGTGGCTTTAGATTCCTTATAAGTTAACATTTCTTTTCAACGTTAGAGGTTCACTTTTATATTATCAGTAATAGCACCACTTAATATATAGATAGTCCTTGAAAAAATTCTGTATTTACACAATCATACTTAATCTAGGTGTGTAGCAGGAGAGCTATATTGTAGGTTTATGGTGTTGTTTTACAATAGATACATTTCTTTCTTACTGGCTACTTGCCTCCATGTGGGGAAAGCATTCTGGTGGCATAGAGCACCGGGATATTACCAGTGATTTATAAAGTATTTTAAGCTTTATTCATGTCTGGCTAGTATGGAAAGAAATGTGCATATTGAGTATCTAAACAGAGATAACCATCCTTTAATTATGACCATCATTCTGATGATACTTCAACCATTTTCATTATTATTCATTGTGGCAGCTTCTGCCAGCATGTTAGGGTATAAAACTTGTGCTTTGTAAACTTATATTCCCAGGAAATAGCCCAAGTAGAAAAAAAAATGCAAGTCCACATCTGAATTCCATTAACAGAATCAGTGCAGTTTTCAAAAGCATGTATATTTTTAGGACTTAAGTGTCTTATTCCAACTATTTTTCTGCACTAAACTGTGATCAAATATAGATTATGTTATGTTGCATTGCCTGCCAACAAGGTCGTTTCTGGTCATTCATTCTATTAATTCCCACAGAAATATCCTGCATTCTGAGCAGTAAAATCAGCAAGCATTTTTGTCTGTTAGCTCATGTTTGTCAACATACTTTCTTCCTTACTCATTCAACTTTGAACTACAGTGCTACACATATTCCTGCAAAATTTCCATTTTCCCAATCTATCAGACACACCAGAATGATTTATAAAGGCTTTTGATTTTGATTCTTGTGATACTCTTTTATTGAGCTCATTCCACTTTTCATTAATCTGCCATCTGTGATTACTTAACTCAAACATTTCTCTTCGATTCCATGTTCTGTCCATTGTCATGGCTGGTATCCCAGTTCTGGCCTTTCTTCCACGGCTGGTTTACTGTACCCGCACACAAGCTGATATTCACTCTCTAACACCTCCTCCCTTTGTCAAGTATTTCTTTTATGCAGCTAGAACAACTTTTTCAGAACATTTTAATTTACATTTTTTTGGTTCAAAATCAGTAATTGACTTTTGCTGCCCAGCAACACCTAATAAAACTACTTCCCTTGGCATTCCAAGGCCAATAAAATCCACTCCTAGCTTATTAAATCTCCATTTTGGCTTTTTTTGTGTATGTCTTTTGCAATAGGCAGAGCCATCTCTTTACATAACACACCAGTCCTTTGCTTATGTTGCCTTTCTTCCTGAAAAAATCTGGCTTCTCATCACTGTGTCTATCTGAGTCCCGTTCATCTCTCAAAATTTGTTTCAAGTTTCTCTTCCTTTACCTACTGCAGCCTTGACTTTCCCTCTTTTTTTCTTTTCTTGACATGCCTTCACCATCATATAGCCTGGCATTTTAACTGGGCATTTAGGGCTTCATTTGTTACACTTGACTCAGAACTGGATCGGAAACCATTTGAGGACAGGGAGCCATCATCTCACTTGACATATGGCAGGCCCTGAAGACATAACCAATTGGTTACTCTGTAACTAATGGCTTGATAGACGTTAGGCCCAGGTTTTTTATTTCTTCTTACGTTAGGATCTACCTATAAAATACAGTACAGTCACAAAATTGATAGTCACATGGTTGGAAAGAAGAGGTCTCGGCTTCCTCATATCCTCCCCTTCCCAGAGGAAATTTAACCACCTGGCCACTTTCAAGAAGAGACAGAAAGATTAACCACAGGCACCACTTGCCAATAAGTTCTAACTTACTGGATGTGGTATGAAACCTCTGTGGCACTGAATTACGGGTACACTGAGAATGTTTTTAAATAGTTGAGTCTCCAGGGAAAAGTTTGAAAATATCAATGAAACAGAAATGCCCTATTCTGTGCCACTGCCCCCCATCTCTATGAATTTTTCCCAACCTTCTCTCCATTAGCTTTTCTTCAATATTTCCTACTTTATGAATTTGAAAAATTGTATGTTAATTTATTATTTTATAATTAAAGCTCCACTTATTTACTGCAAAGTTGTAAAATGGCATTCCTTGTTTTAAAAATTCCTGTAACCAAATTACTTTTGAATATGGACTGTCATTTTAATCATCCAGATTGTATTTTTGGTTATATGTTCATTATATTCAGGTCTCTAGAAAATTGATCATATGCAGGATTCTTAGAAGCCTATGTAATCTTTCCTTTTTCCCCCCCCCGTCATTAAATATTAAAAGAAAACAAAGCCAATCAAATAATCAATCAAACAATTAAGTCCTTCCCACAGAGTTAAAGGCCGGAAAACAAATGAAAGGTGTCACCAGATCTGTTTCCCTTCCTTCTAACAGGATGTGTGTAAGACAAGATAGACAGATCTCTTTTCCATTTTCGGAGACCCAGGGAATTAGGGAAAAAACTTCATTACCACTTTGAGAATGATTTCACTGCTGAGAAAACCTCATTGCTATTAAGGCATTCTAGTTACTTTCAGTTCCTTTTGGTTTTGTCCACATTAAATGATGAGCAATAGTTGGTAAATATTTCCAAGCGGTAATAATGCATGAAGTCAGTACATCTAAACATGCTTTTATTCTTAAATCATCCATCCTTATTTAAACTTAGCCTTTCTTCACAGCAAAAGTACACAAGGATTCCCAGTATTTGCCCTTTGTCTTACCCACAGTTAGCACTCACGCTATCTCTGCATTTTCCCTACTTGGTATTTTTAGCTTTCCTGCCAATCAGACTTTTGTTCTCACCCAGTATACTTGCTATCATTTTTGTTCCTCAGATTAACCCCTTCTCTATTAAGAACTGAGGTCCAGAGTTGATGACGTATAAAGCTGAACTATCTTCAAAGTTTAAGTGAAGGGCAGTGACTTCCACCCCTTTCAATAAAGTCCTCCATTTCTCCTTTTTTTTTTTTTTTTAAAGAGAGAGAGGGAGGGTGGGGGTAGAGGGAGAAGCAGTGAGGGAGAGAGAATCTTAAGCTGGGCATGGAACCTGACCCGGGGCTCAATCTCACAACCCTGAGATCATGACCTGAGCTGAAATCAAGAGTTGGACACTTAGACTGAGCCACCCAGGTGCCCCATTTTTCTTTTTCTGAAAGGAAACAGCTACTCTTCACTTTCCTTTTTTTGTATCTAAATCTTTTTTAAAATGTTATTTTATTGCATAAGAACACTGAACATGAGATCTACTCTCTTAACAGATTTTTAATTGTGCAATACAGTATTGTTAACTATAGGTACAATGTTGTATAGCAGATCTCCAGAACTTACTCATCTTGCTTAACCAAAACTTGATGCCCATTGATGAGCAGTGCCCCATTTCCTCAACCCCTCGCACACACACACACACACACCTTCTAGCAACCACCATTCCACTCTTGGATTCTATGAGCTTGTTCATTTTACATACCTTATATACATAGGATCATGCAGTATTTGTCTTGGCTTATTTCACTAAGTATAATGTCCTCAAGGTTCATCCATATTTTCACACAATGTAGACTTTTCTTCCTATTTTAAGGCTAAATAATATTCCATTGTATGCATATACTACATTTTCTCTATCCATTCATCTGTTGATGGGCATTCAGGTTGTTTTCAAATCTGGCTATTGTGCATAGTGCTGCAGGGGACAGGGGAGTGCTAATATCTCTTTGAGATCCTGATTTAAATTCTTTTGGATAAATACCCAGAAGTGGGATTGCTGGATAATATGGTAGTTATATATATATATTTTTAAGATTTTATTTATTTGACACAGAGAGAGAGATAGTGAGAGAGAGAGAGCACAAGCTGGGGGAGTTGCAGGCAGGCAGAGGGAGAGGGAGAAGCAGGCTCTCCGCCGAGCAAGGAGCCCAACATGGGGCTGAAACCCAGGACCCTGGGATCATGACCTGAGCTGAAGGCAGCTGCTTAACCGACTGAGCCACCCAGGTGCCCCTATGGTAGTTATATTTTTATTTTGGGGGGAACTTCCATATTGTTTTCCATAGTGGCTGCACCACTTTGTGTTCTTAGCAACAGTGTACAAGTATTCTAATTTCTCCACATTTGCCAACACTTGTTTTTTTTTTTTTTTAACAGCCATCCTGACAGATTTGAAGTGATATCTCATTATGGTTTTGATTTGCATTTTTCTGATCATTAGAAAATATATAGTGGGGGCGCCTGGGTGGCTCAGTCGTTAAGCATCTGCCTTCGGCTCAGGTCATGATCCCAGGGTCCTGGAATCGAGCCCCACATCGGGCTCCCTGCTCAGCGGGGAGCCTGCTTCTCCCTCTCCCACTCCCCCTGCTTGTGTTCCCTCTCTCGCTGTGTCTCTCTCTCTCTAATAAATAAATAAAATCTTTAAAAAAAGGGGGGGCACCTGGGTGGCTCAGTTGGTTAAGCGACTGCCTTCGGCTCAGATCATGATCCTGGAGTCCTGGGATCGAGTCCCACATCGGACTCCCTGCTCAGCAGGGAGTCTGCTTCTCCCTCTGACCCTCTTCCCTCTCATGCTCTCTATCTCTCGTTCTCTCTCTCTCAAATAAATAAATAAAAAAACTTTAAAAAAAGAAAAAAAGGAAAAAGAAAAAAGAAAATATATAGTGAATGCTTATTCTATGCAGACACTTTACCTGGTGCTGGGGATATAGCAATAAACACAATAGACTACTTGCTTCCCCTTATAAAGGATTTGACATTGTTCAAGAATCATCCTTTTTCGCAATAATTTGGGAAGAAGAGAACTCTTTCCTCAGTGGCCAGATCTAGAGAATTAGCTCTGAATAGAGAGGAATGGTTGATATCAATCCAGTTTTCATTCAAATGTAAGATAATTACTTTGCATTTTCTGCGTTCTATCACTTGCTCTAAAATAAAATCATTATACCAAACAGACCATATTGTCACTGAAAGCGATAGATGGTTTGTGGAGTATATTTTACATTTTTGCATTCCTTTGTTGTTATGTAGTTTAGTTATGTATTTGGCAAATTTAGAAATTTTTCTCCTCTTTATTTTCTGCTTTTCTAATATCATCTATTATTTTCTATGAGTGTGGCCACTCACATTCCAATAGGGCATTATAACAACTGGAAGAGATAACCAATGGATTTTTTATATTCCTCAGCTTTTGATGACTTTTCCATCTATTTGAATTTCAAACCTTTAAAAAGAAGACTTCTTAACAAACTAACTATGGATGCCTGGTACTTGAGGATAATTTGCACTGCTATTTTAAGTAACAAATCAATAAATCCAGAATACTTCGGAAAGAGAATAATAAGGATAATGACCTGATAGCTTATTATATTCCCAATGCTTCCATTAAAGGTAAAGTTAGGTAGACCTCAATATCTAGAAAGCTACTCATAGGTATTACTCAAAAATTATCTGGTGGCATTCTAAAATTATGGATTTCACCTTACAGCCCTGGGTTTTTGAGAATTTATGTTCAGCAAATATTTCATCACCCATACCTTTGCTCTTTTTCAGTCGTCCTCATGTATAAGTTATAAATCCATTTTCTTATTACCTGAGTAACAGAAATAATATTCCTGAGAAGTGTGTGAGTCATAACCCTCCTTTCCTTATTTGATAAACAGGAAAAAAAAAAGTCCATAAAACTGATATTCAGATTAAATCCATAAGTGTAATCCATTTACTGTGTAAAATAACGGGTGAGTATCGTGGTGGTAGTTTAAAACTGTCTCGTTCTATTTTTTTTTAAATGAAATTACATATTTTCCTATCATTTTGAGTTATGCTAAGTATGATCGTGAATCCCTGTTGTTTCCGTTGGGGTAGCTATGAGGCTTTGCACGGAGGAGTGCAGGGTCCTGGGACACTCTGACCAGTGCTGGATGCCACCGCTGCCCTCGCCATCCTCTGACTATCGGAGTAACATGTTCATTCCGGGGGAGGAATTCCCAGCGCAACCCCAGCAGCAGCATCCGCATCAGAGTCCTGAGGAGGACACCCAGCCTGCAGATTCAGGTGAGAAGAAGAAGAGTTTTTCCACCTTTGGGAAGGACTCCCCAAACGAGGAGGACTCCGGGGATACCAGCACATCCTCTCTGCTCTCGGAAATGAGCAGCGTCTTCCAGCGCCTCTTGCCCCCTTCCCTGGACACCTATGCTGAGTGCAGCGAGGTGGATCGGTCCAACTCCCTGGAACGCCGCAAGGGACCTTTGCCAGCCAAGACGGTGGGTTACCCGCAAGGTGTGGCTGCCTGGGCAGCCAGTACACATTTTCAGAATCCCACCAACAACTCTGGTCCCCCACTTGGAACTCACTCCAGCGTGCAGCCTTCTTCGAAATGGCTGCCAGCCATGGAGGAGATCCCCGAAAATTATGAAGAAGATGATTTTGACAATGTGCTCAACCACCTCAACGACGGGAAACATGAACTCATGGATGCCAGTGAGCTAGTGGCTGAGATTAACAAACTGCTTCAAGATGTCCGCCAGAGCTAGGAGATTGTAGCGAAGCATTTTTGTTTCCATATATATGGAAATAGGGAACAGAGAAAACCCTGAAAGAACTGGCATTGCCAAATAGTTGCATTTATCATAAATGTGTCTGTGTATATTGAATATTAAATACTGTATTTTCGTATGTACACAATGCAAGTGTGATTATTTTAATCTGTATTTTAAAAATACATTTGTACCTTATATTTATGTGTAATTTAACAGACAAATTTTATTTTTTTACTCCCATGACAAACATGTCTTTCCTAATCATGTAGAAACTAGCCACTGTTCAAATAGGATATAGTAGTCAACCACAAAGTATAAAGGCACTGTGTAGATTAGTTGTGTTGGGGAAGAAATTGCTATGCTGTAGGAACAACCCCACTAAAGTATTATATGATTCTTAGTTTCGTTAAGTGATCCAGTTTCTTTTTCCAATGCTTAAAAAATAAAATTAAGCATCAATAAAAATATTAAACTATTTTATTATCATTTTTACTGCTCTCTGCTAGTTCTGATAGTTCAATTACAGCAAAATTGAAACATGAGGTGAAATTTCATTTTAGGACTGGGAAGTACCTTTCATAGACAATGATGAAACTAGGGCTAGAGTCAATGCTTCCTAACCCCCAGGGCCCTACTATTCTGGGGCATCACACTGGCCCTTTCTTGAGAATATTTCTCCTGAAGTATTATTGTCTATTTGTAATCAAGGTAAACAATGAATTTCATTCCATCCTTGTAACAGTAAACATGCTCCAAGGAAATGGAATCTGTCCTTTAAAGGAGTAACAGTATGTATTCTAACAGCAGAAAGTATTAGTGGATGAAAACCATTATGTCGGTGTCCCTCCTAGGGTCGTAAATGTAATTGATTTATTCTGAAACTGTTCTATTTGAATCTTCCCTCTCCTCTCACAATACTTGAACATTTTTATCTTTTGCAATGTTTTTGCTCTAACTATTCACTTTTAGCTTTTGTCTCCAGTGCATGATCTCGTATTTTGCTTTTATTTTTAGTATAAAACCATTTGTAAAATTATGATTTTGTTATTGCAATTCTGTTGTATTTGTTGTGTGACAGACAACAAATTCTTTAATTATTGTGCTGTTATCTCTCTGTGTGGAATGCTTCCGTAAAGGAGATCTTTATTATGACTGTTTTCATTTATGACCAAGCTTCTATTAATGTTATTTCTATGAATACACTATCTTGATTGTACTCTCCAGAAAATTTTGCTGTCAATGAAAATAAAACGAAAATTAAAGTAAAGCTAAAGAACTGTCCATAAATCAGTATCCTGTTCTACATATATGTTCAAAAGCTTTGCATGAAGTATATCCTTCATGAAAGGATAATTCAGTTTTGAGCTTTGAATGATGAAGAGGGAACACTCAGCTGGCTTGGCAAACAAGAAAAACACAACGGAAAAGGAATGAATTTGAGGCCTGTAATGGGAAAGAAAGAAGTCTACCATATTCCCAGTAGATTAAAGAATTTAAATGCATTTGAAGTGTAAAAAAAAAAAAAAAGAAAAAGAATAATCAAATAGTAACTGCTGGAACATTTTTTAAATTAAAAAAAAATTCTTCCTCAGAACATTTTGTATTAAGTTGGGTCAAAAAAAAATGTGCCTTACAATGTTTCCAAGAGGTGAAAATATTATCCTGCTTGGTTTACTAGCAGGGAATTGAAATATGAAGAAAGTTAAATAGCCTAAAAGAGGCTAAACTCATATATTTTAAATCTCAAATGAGCACCACATCAAATAGATGTGTTATGTCTTCTAAAGGGCACATTTTCCTTTATAGGAGGGATTGCAGTTACAAAGAAAATTTCCGTTTATTTTTCAGTAGATTACCCACACAAATGCTAACCACATTTAAAAACATTTTTTTTTCAAATTCACTTCCTTTCAGTACATATTATCATTAAGAAAAAAAATTCATAACAACGCGGTTTTTAATTTAAAGCACCACTAGTAATTAGGAAGCAAAGCTGGAAATCAATGTTTAACTAATGTGAAGTAAATAAAATCCAATATTATACTAAATACAAAACCTTTGTGTATTGTCTGTAGAGTAAAGCTTCCATGTTTCAGACTCCTTGCCCCTCCAGCCTTCTCCACTTACTATGGCTTTCCAGACCCACAGGTAAAGGGGATATTAGTGCAAGATTTTCACTTTTCGCTCCTGTTCCTTTCACAGATAATATGATCTCAGTGAAAGCTCCACTCTCTGGTGCTATCACAGCAATTTAACCTTTCATCAATTTACATTTTCTCTTTGATACCATGCCTCTCCTCAGACTGAAACAATTGAAAAGCACTTAAACCAAGGAGGTTCTTTTTTCCAATCATGGTTTCTTAATCCCTTTGTCCCCATTTCAGTTCCTTTAAATGTTCTTCAGTGAGAGAGAGAGAGAGAGAGCAGAAACAGAGGGAGAGGGACAAGCTGATTCCCCACTGAGCAGGGAGCCTGATGTCTGACGTGGGGCTTGATCCCAAGATCCCAGCCAAGATCCTGACCTGAGCCAAAGTCAAACGCTTAACCGGCTGAGCCACCCAGGCACCCCAGTGATAATCTTCTATTAATAGGATCATCTTCCAAAAATGTAATTCAATATTGAATCTGTTGCTTAATAAATCTTCCTTTTAAATGTTTATTTATAGGATGATTAGAATTGGCTTTCTTCAAATTCTTATAGGTTATTAACATTGTTATTCATTTATCATTTCTTTCTTTCTTGGTATTTAGCAGGTGAGACTTAGGACTTTATTAATCATTTAATTTCTTTCTCCTTCTGTCATACATCTATCAAATTTACCACTTGCCAGTAGATAACTATTCAGGCAAAAAATGGTTAAACTACTCTTACTGGAGTTACTGAAGAAGTCTCATTTGTGAAAATCATCTTAGAGTCCTTGTTTCATTGTTTTGATACCAGCTAATGTCCGAAAATATTCAAAACTGAGTTTGAATTACTGACACATTAAAGTTCAAGCATTGTGAGGGGCGCCTGGGTGGCTCAGTTGTTAAGTGTCTGCCTTCGGCTCAGGTCATGTTCCCGGGGTCCTGGGATCCAGCCCCACATCCGGCTCCCTGCTCGGCGGGAAGCCTGCTTCTCCCTCTCCCACTCCCCCTGCTTGTGTTCCCTCTCTCGCTGTGTCTCTCTCTCTCTAATAAATAAAACAATAAAAAAATAAAATAAAATTCAAACATTGTGAATCTATTTACAAATTAGTTGTGTGGTTGAAAAAGGTATTGCCTGACATAGCAATTTTCAACCCCCCATGAAATCATAGAACTGGTAGAGCACAGTTCAGGTAATTAGCCAGACTAGTGAAAAGGTTTTGATGTTCCCGTTTCAACTGAATATATCGTGAATGTATCATCACAGTATCAGAGATTGGGGATGCGATGAACTCTGAAAGCCAGTAAATATTGCTTTGTAAAATTAAATTCAAACCATACAAAAGTTTTAAAGATATATGTTGAGTCTTAAAAAGAGTACAGGCATTTTAAAAGACCCAGCATATTGATTTCCTTAATTGCAAGTTAAATTCATAAAACAAAGCTATCTTATATGTAGAAGCTGTCTTATATATTGTGAAAGTATGAGTTACCTTACTGACTGTAATCATTTTTAATGTATCAGGATATTTCCAACCGTGAAGGATAGAGATAATTTTATGTGGTTACATAAAGTTTTAATTTGATAAATGAAGCTATTTGAGCCATTGAAGATTCATCTCATTCAGTTTAGTTCCCAGAACAAACAATAAGTCACTTTTTTGAAATAAGGAAATGATATCTAAGGTACTAGATTACAATTGAAAAACCTTTATTGCCCAAGTTGTGGCTCAGTCTTCATCTGTGTACCTGGAGTCATTGTCAAGTATATACAATCTGTATACCAGAAATAATAGGACCTTCAATATACTCTAAACATATATATATATATATATTCGATGTATATTGAATAGGTAGACACTGTATAACAGATCTGAAAGTGATAGTATATGCTTCTCATTAATTTATATTTTTATTATACGCTAACTTATACAACCTGTGGAATGGTTAGAAGAATTTTATGAGCAGTTGGCACTGCAAAAATTGCTACCAAAATTTACATACTTCTTGACTTTTAAAATTGCAATAACATCCTACTCTGGCACTTTAAAATAATAGTTTTCTATTTCCTTTTATGACTTCTGCAAGTTGCTCCTAATTCTTGTTTGCTTTTTTCAGATTTTATCTTTTCAATTTATTTATTTTGTGGTACTCTTCCTTGATAATTTACCCTACTGTCCACATTTTATAGTAATCTTCTCCAAATTTTTGCACGCGTATAGCTCTTTATATAACCACTTAGATTTTAGCAAATTTTTCCACATCTTTTCTTTGTTATTAATATAACAGGGATCATATTTTTGAGATATGAAACTAATAACTTTTCATTCTCAGTAAACCTTGCTCCTCTAACTCACTACTTTAATGGAAGGGTAAATTTATACAGTTAAGAATGAAGGGGTCATTTCTGTTGTTCTGTTTTAAATTAAATGTGTTTGAGTGCCTAGGGAGACATTAGTTTAGAAAACTTAATTTACTGAGAAGGAATTTTTTTTTTCTAAATATAAGACCCTTCTCTTTTTGTATTAAGGATTGGGCCAGGAAAGGTAAGCTCGGAATCTTAGTATGAGCCAAAGTTAAGTGCAAGGAAAGAAACGTAAAAGTAAGAAAGACCCATTGCCACAGAAAAGAAAGATGACTCAGGCAACTGTTGAGAGCATAGAGCCCTAAAGGTGAATAAATTGAGAAAGGCAAAATCTCAGATGTTAGCATTTTCTATAGTCCCACCTCCGGTGATCTTTAAAAGAACCTGTAGAACAAAGCACAACTTTGGGAGAAGATGTTTCTCCTTTCCCCAACTCTCCCCACACAGGAGGGCAGACGTGGAAAAACTGGTGCCAAGGTAGGGTGTGCGTGCCTCTGACATA